GGGTTGAAGAGTGACTGTGATTAGAATAAACAGAGTAGAACCACAGACAGACTTCAAAGGTCTATGGTGTGTGTGTGTGTGTGTGTGTGTGTGTGTGCGACCATCAGAGGCTAGCATCTCTGCTCCTTTGATGTGACGTGAACTCACGGCGTTGATGCCGGACAGCTGCTGGGACAGCTGCAGGACGATGGCGATGATGATTGGCTGACGGTACAGCGGCGACAGGAAGAGTTCGGGGATGGTGACTTTCTTCTCCAGTGACATCTTCATCCCTTCCTCCTTCATCTCCTGGATGTCGTCTTCTACGTCCTCAGTTCCACGCAGATGCACCAGCGCTACGGTGAGAACAGGCGTAAGAAAACCAGCTGGACTGAGTCTGAACCCAAACGACCCCAGAGTCCTGGCGTTCACACCCACCTTTCCTCGCCTCCTCTTCCTGGTTCAGGACAATAAGAAGGTAGCGGGGGCTTTCGGGGCAGAAGGGCAACATGATGGTCTGCAGCACGGCGGGCACAGCCGTCAGAGCCAGGAGCAGAGGCCACAGGTGTTCAGAGCCCAGCAGAAGCTCCAGGCCAAAGATCTGAGCACAAACAAGTCACACACTTTACAGGCAGCGGAGCTTCTACCAAATACTTCAACGTAACACAGTGTAACACAATGTAGTACAACGTAGTACAATGTGGTACACACTCAACACTTTCAGTATCTGTTACAGGATCTTCACAGTGTAGCATGTCTGGCTAACAGAGATGTTAGCTCTGGAAATGAAACAGTGTCAGAGTCAAACTCACACTGGGCCAAAATGAAAAACTGTGAAGTTTTTCTCTTCTGTCCAGATCTGGTTTTTTTTTTTCATATGGAAACAAACTATAGATTTGTGCAAACATGTAATAATAATGTTATAAAGGTGTTTGTTTCTGATTCTCGACGTCTGTAGACGTCTTTCCACTCTTTTTTAAAGACCAACCATAAAAAAAAAAACTAAATGTATTTGCTATAACATTACGTACGCTGAGTTCAACAAATTCAACTGAGGATGCCCCCTGTTGGTCATAATCTGGAGTATCGCTATTTATTGTCGCTGGTTTATCTGATGTAGAAGACCAGGAGACC